AAACAAAAGAATTAATTATTCCTTCTCAATATGTTGATTATCAAGCATTTTCACAAAAACCAATGACTAATGGTTTAAAATGTAATACTACTTATGCTATGACAAATGTAAGTTCTTTAATGTTTTTATTCCCTAGAACAACTAATGAAGTAACATGTAGTAGAAATCCTTTATTAGCATCTTTACAATTACAAATTGATAATAAACCTTATCCTGATAAACCATTTTCATCTATAGAAAAATCACATACTATTTATAATATTACTAATGCTGGTTTAGATAATTTATTCTCTCCTTCAAAAGAATTTGCTTATTCATTAGAATATAATGAAATAGATACTAATTCAATTATAGGAAAAGCAGGAAATGGAAAATATATTCCACCACTTAAAGATAATACATCATATTGTTTCTTATGTAGTACTGAAAGATTAAGTGGTTATGGTACATTTTGTGATGGAATTACTAAAGATAATGCTCATGTAACACTTTCTGGAACTTTATTAATTCCTAATAATGAACATCCTTATATTACTAATCCTTTAACTAAAGAATCAAATGATAGATGTCCAATTATGCTTGTATGTCAAGATTGTTTCTGGAGATGTACATTACAAGGTGGTTGTGAATATATTTGTAATAACAAATATTTTGTAAGAGAAAAAACAGGAACAGATTAAATTAAAATTAATTCATTTATTTATTAATTTTTGTTATAACAACTTTCATAACGTTCATTAACTTGTTTAATATAATCAAAATTTATTTCTGAAATAATTCCTCTATTTCTGAAATAATTCTTTTCTTTTGAATATAAAAATAAAAGTAAAAAATATAGATGGAAATTTGATTAAATAAAAAGATCATTTATAATTATACTGTAAGTTTTGGTAATGATGGTAATATATATTCTGTTTCATCAATTGTTTCTTCTCTGTCTTGTACTAAATCTGAAACTTTAATTTTATCAAATGTTTTAATTTTATTATAACTTCCTTCTAAATTAATATGACATAAACTTATTTCATATTCATTTGATTTTGTTTGATTAAATACATAATATATTTCTGCTACATAATAATTTTTATTACTATATGTATAAACATATTCATCACTTGAATTTGAGTTACAACAATATTTCATTATTGCTGAACAATCAATTGATTTTCTTCCAAATGAAATAAATAAATTATTTTGTTTGAGATTATAAGTTTTATCATCATAATAAAAATGATGATTAAAATTTGTGAAAGGAACAACAGATTCAAATTTTACTTCTTCATTTCCATAATTAATTAATTGTTTTACAATAATACCATTAATAACTTTATTATTTTCTGTTATTCCTTTAGGAATATTATTAATTTTATCATTAATATAAGATTTTAAACCATTCATTTTTATTATTGTTTCTTCATTAAAATAAAGTGGTGAATATAATGTTTCATTAACAAGAGAAGATAAAGATATTAATTGAGATGTTAAATTATTAATTTCATTCATATTTGTTGTATTTAATGTTATTAATTGTGATATCATCTCTAATATCATCAATATATATATTTGTTTCTTTCATTTTCTCTTTTATTTCATCAATTTCATTATTTGATAGAATATCTTTAACATTAATTGTTGTCATTCCATCTGATGATTTAATTGTATCAAGATAAATTGTATTATTATTAAAATATCTTGTTGTTAAAATATTATTTTTATTTAAATATTTTGAACCAATTGCTTCCATTTAATAATGTAAATTAAGTTCTAAGATAAAATATTCATCCCAAATTCCAAGTGGCATAATAATATTTCCTTTATAATCTTTAAACCATATTTCTATTGAAGTTATATTTTTATTAATATTAAAATGTTTTGGTGTCATATTCCCATATGTTGAAAAACATATCATTTGATCATTTTCAGGTGAATCATAATTAAATGAACCATGACAACTAACACCAATATCTAATTGACCATTCAAATTAAAATAAACAAATTCAATACTTCTATTGTTTTAGATATTTTCA